GATGGCTACACTGGGGTTTAACTCTGTCCTTGCTCTGCTTTGTTCCAGGTTTAGAATCTGACCTGTCCACCTTGATAGTATGGCTCAGTAAGAACAGGTCGATACAGCACCTGGCGTTAGGCAAAAACTTTAATAATATGAAATCCAAGTAAGAGTTTTTAATTTTTTTATATCGCAATGGTGAAGATAACCTGCCTCCTGAAAGCTTTCGATTCCATTCCACTGTCCGCACCCTGAAATCTCTCTAGAAACCTGGCCCCCGTCTTGGACAGCCTAGTGCAGATGATCCAGGAGGAGGACTCGGTGAGTACGCGCTACACGCAGGGGGCCCGGCCGCTCTCACGTGGTTTCTGCTGCATTCTTGCCCAAACCTTTCAGATAATTCATCTCAGCATACTTTTTTTTTTTTTACAGGCTTTTGATAGGGCGTTGCGCTTGCCAGAAAGACAGAGACAGAGAGACAGAAAGCGAGAAATCACTTCCCAAGGGGGATGGCCACGCCGCAATCCCTTCTCCTCCATTCTCCTCTCAGGATCTTGGGCACGCACGCACACGCGCCCGGTGTGAATTTAAGCCACCAGGTCCGGGACTCGAACCGGCAGGATCCTCCCGCAGGTCTCACTGGTGTGTCTCTAGAGCAATCTGCTCTGAGAGATGACCGAGTGCTGCCTGTTGTCCCTGCAGCCCCTGCAGTCCTTGTCACTGGCCGATTCAAAACTTAAGGCCGAGGTCACCATCCTCATCAATGCCCTGGGCAGCAACAGCTCCCTGACCGAGGTGGACATCAGCGGGAACGGCATGGGTGACATGGGAGCCAAGATGCTGGCTAAAGCCCTGCAGATCAACACCAAGCTCAGGTTGGCGCCCCGTCCCACGCCCTTGGTAGCTGCTCCACTCTCGCGTGGCTTCTCCAGTGGCTCAGTGCCCCCCCGTCGCACGGTTTGGGCTGTGTGTGCGGTCCGCGCTGCGTGTCCTAAGGAAGAAGCCCTGGAGAAGACTCGGGCTGTTGGCTTTGGAGACCAGCTGCGCCCGGAGTCTGCACCCAGGGGCCAGCGAGGTTGAAGAGGGGACGGTTTCACGCCCACTGTCGGCACGCTAGGAGGGCACTCCCGAAGGCAGATGTGATTTCCTTTAAGTGGTCATCATAGATGTCCCCGTGGTGAGGGAACCTAGAACGTGGTCTCTGCTTCCCGCCAGCCTGTGAGCTGGTGACGTGGGGCCGGCAGAGGGCAGGGAGGCCCGAGCTGGCCGTGACAGCACACGTGTGGCACGGGTGTCCTGTGATCCTGGTCCCCCGCCCCAGCCAGCATGAACACTGACAGCGTCATAGTCCTGGCCAGGCGAGTTCCGCACCAGGCCCGACGGCTGTGCTGTGTGGCCCTTGCTGCGCTCCCCGCCACTGCCGTCACTCGGGTGGCCACAGGGAGGGTGGACGCTGCTCCCGGGACCCTGCTGACCTTGCTACCCCGTGCTGGGAGGACAGTCTGGGCCTCTGCCCATGCCCAGGCCCCGCAGGTGCCAGGCCTCTGTCCCGACGTCCGTAAGGAAGGTCAGTGAGGTTAGGAGGGAGGCAGACAGACACAGCCGTCCGTGTGCCAAGTGGGCCGACAGACCCTACCACGCCCTGAGCCACGTGAGCCTCGGGTGCACACTCTGATGCCACCTCTCCTTGTGGTGACCCAGGTGCCACCAGCGTGCTGTGAGGGCGCCCGTGCACAGACACGGTTCTCTCCGGGTTTATAGAACGGGTGGTCTCATGGCTGGAGCCCCGTCCTTGGCGGGCGGGTGGCACTGTAGAGGCTGGCCTCGGTCTCGGCCCGGACAGAGGGGTCAGGCCAGGGTTGGTGTCCGGGTGGTGAGACGTGAGGTGGCGTGGGGAAGTGGCAGGCCAGCTGCTGTCCCGAGCACGGGAGTGTCACTGTCCGACAGCGAATGTGGTCGCAGGGTCCCGAGAACGTCATGCTGGGGACGCTCGTGCACTGTGTTGGAGGTGACTCCGAGCTCCGAGCCTGCTCACGCGACAGGGTCCCTGAGCCCCCGGACGCCGTTGCTGGCGTGCTCTGAGGAGGGCTTCCTCGCGTGTGGTCCGGTCACCTGCTGATCGTTTTCTGACAGGACCGTGATCTGGGACAAGAACAACATCAGCGCACAGGGCTTTCAGGACATCGCCGTTGCTATGGAGAAGTGAGTTCCCGTTCGGGTTTCTTTCTAGAGAAATCTGAAAGCGCCGACGGGGCCACGTCACCCCGGGTCAGAGAACGTCGGCCCGAGCGGCTGCGGAGCAGCACGGCCTGAGGCTGCCCGGGCTTTCTCCGGCGCCATCACCCAGCTCTCTGCCCGTCGGGGCCTGGCCTCCCTGTCGGCAGTGCCGTCCGGGTCGCGGTGCTGAAGCGGGGGAGCGCGTGCAGGCTGCAGGTTCCCGGGCGCTCCTCTGTCTCGCCGGCCATGCTGGCGTGGCTCAGCCCTAGAGCAGCAGCAAAAACGGTGTTTAGGAACGGCCCCTCTGAGATCAGGGCTGAACTTGGCCCAGAGTCTAGAATTTTCTAAGCTACTCTTACAACCATATTTCAAACTTTAAAACATGAGAAAAGTGAATTAGGCAACAGGAAGTCGTTTTAAAGTGGATTTGTTGTCTTCTTTTCCGAGGAACTACACGTTGAGATTTATGCCAATTCCCGTGTATGACGCTTCTCAAGCTCTGAAAGCAAACCCCGAAAAGACGGAAGAGGCGCTGCAAAAGGTGCTGGGCGGTCCCGGCCCAAGTCCCTCGGTCCTCGTGGTCGGGCCGCGGCTCCACGCACGGATCCGGGCGCTCCTCTGTCTCGCCGGCCATGCTGGCGGGCTCAGCCCTAGAGCAGCAGCAAAAACGGTGTTTAGGAACTGCCCCTCTGAGATCAGGGCTGAACTTGGCCCAGAGTCTAGAATTTTCTAAGCTACTCTTACAACCATATTTCAAACTTTAAAACATGAAAAAAGTGAATTAGGCAACAGGAAGTCGTTTTAAAGTGGATTTGTTGTCTTCTTTTCCGAGGAACTACACGTTGAGATTTATGCCAATTCCCGTGTATGACGCTTCTCAAGCTCTGAAAGCAAACCCCGAAAAGACGGAAGAGGCGCTGCAAAAGGTGCTGGGCGGTCCCGGCCCAAGTCCCTCGGTCCTCGTGGTCGGGCCGCGGCTCCACGCACGGATGCGGTGTGGCCGTGCTCCGAGGCTTTCCCTCTCACGCCTCCTGTCAGGGACTAGGGAGGAAGCGAGGCTTGTCGGGAAGGAGGTGGGACCGAAGGGCTCCCTCTGCACCGCCGCGCGGCCGGCTGCCCCTGCAGGACCTGTGCACTCGACGTCCGTTGGTGCAGCCTCCCCCACGGCTCCTTCGTCGGGAGCTGGGGTCAGCGCCCACAGTGTGCATGCCCGGGTGTGCAGGGAGGAGCCCTGGGGCAGGACCCCGGACGGCCAGGTGGCTGCAGCACCGCACGGGGCACGGCGTCATTGCCGTCCTGCCACCAACGGCCGACCCCATTCTCCTTGTGGCCGATCTAGTAGCCGGCCGGCGCTTCAAAGTGGTGACAACACGGGTGAGCTGGGGCCGCAGGTCGGGAGGAGTGAGGCGAGTGGGCAGTGTGAGGTGAGGGCCGTTTCCACGTACTTCGCCTCCCCGCTGGGCCTCCGGGCCGGCCCCCGACCGCACCCCAGCACGCGCATTCACACTGATGGTGACGCCGCCCGGGGAGCACGAGATCAGTGTGCGTCTGTCACGCGGTGCTCACGGCCACTCCTCGTGTTCTCCAGGGCTCTTGCGTGTCCAGTGTCTTTGTTCAGTGAGAAAGCACGTCTTGTTCTGTTCCCGGGTTCCAGGGACGATGGTAATCACACCCGTTTCTCGCTGTCCCTAACTGCTACCAAGGAGTACATCTTTGCACGTGGACAGTGACAGTGTGAGACCCAGACTGTCCCAGCTACTGGATAACCTTGGTGACAGTTAAGAAGCCAAATGACCAAGTGGTTTCAAGGGAAACAAAACACTAAGTTAAGAAAGAAAGAATTAAAGAAAAAGGCGGCACAGTTTACCTAGCTCAAATTATTTTTTAAACACATCTTTATGGGCATGTGTCATTTTCGGTAGGTTTTCTGTACGTTTTTGAACGTGTATTCATCACAAAGTGTTCTTGCATGCGTCACCTCGACCCGTTACCGTTCGCAGAGTGGAATTTTTCACAGAAGACGGTTTATAGCAATGCAGATTTCTCACTTTCTGTGGAAATTTGCTTTCTTGTTTGTTATAATTTTAGTAAAACCAGTGCTGTTGTGGAGTAAATACGAAAACCTAGTGAGTTAAGGAAGCTCGTGCCAGTCTGAGTTGGACCCGCCCGTCCAACCTGCGGCTCTTCTCCCCTCCCTGACCCCGTCTAAGTGCTGTGGGTTCTAGTCCTGGAGCACGCCCAGGGGAGGGAGTCCGCTGCGCTCCTTGGGCACTGACTGAACTCTGAGCTGTCTGCCAGGCAAGGTCATGGCAGGAGGGGCTGAGCCTGCAGGAGAGGGACGAGAGTCCTGGGGTGGCCGTAACTGTGGGCGCTTTCCCCGCCAGCCGTGGGGCCGTGGGGACATGACTCCAGCCCCTACCGGTTGGATTTCTGACCGAACACACCGGTGGCCCGTCCCTGAGGGGCTGTGACGCTGGCTGGGAGGGCGCGGCCGTGTTCAGGGCTGAGCTTGCAGCCTAGCACTGACTGACACGCTCCCCTCTGAGGAGTGGGGACGCGCCCCTGAGAGACATGCGCTTCCCTTCCAGATCCAGAACTACCTGCTCCGGAACCACGAGACCCGCAAGCACCTCCAGGAGCAAGCCTACCGCCTGCAGCAGGGCATCGTCGCCAGCACCACCCAGCAGGTAGGCTGCAGCCCCACCCCGCCTGTCCTTCCGGGCTGGGAGCCTCGCGTCGTGTCCGAGTGACCGCGGACGGAGAGCTCGGGGGACGCGGAGGGGAGACATGTTCTACGCAGTGTGCGCCTTTCACTGTTGAGCTGCCCCTCGTATGACGTGCCCGGAGGGGCATTTTAAACTTCCATGAGAACATCTGGAGCCAGCAGACGGCGTAGTACCACGCCGACTCACAGGCTCGATTACATTTTGCTCTGAGGTGTGCGCCCTTGGGGGAGAGCGAGAACGCCCCGGGAATGGCCACACCACAGTCCCTCCTCCACTCCTGGGGCAGCGCTGGTAAGCGCTCTGTGGTTGGTGTGCTCAGACTCGCCGCGCCGTGTCCAGGCCGTGGTGGCGGCTCAGGTTAGAGGAGCTGGGCCTTCCCCTCGTCTGCGCCTCCTCCCCAGCACCCTCCCGCCCTTCCGCTTCCCATCAGGTTGTCTGTCCACGAGTTTCTGTGTTTCTTCTCGGAGTGCGTGTGTGCATGTGTGCGTGGGCGTGTGTGTGTGTGTGTGTGCGCGTGCGTGTGTGTGTGAGAGAGACAGACAGAGGGACAGCAGCTACGCAGGCTAGACGTGCCCCAGCCTCGCCAGGCCGGATCCCGGCAGACATGCCTGACGTATGTGGGGTGGGGGGTCTCTGGGCGCGGACCCCGCAGGACGGCCGCACACGGCGGTTTTGTAGTGGTGCCACCAGCCGGCCCCGGGTCTTTCGTGGAAACCCTGGAGTAACCGACGATGTTTGGGATGCGGGACGGGGAGTGTCAGGGTGACGACGGTGTCTGTCTGCTGACCCCTTACACGGGAAAGTGCTCCGTGTGACGTTAGCGGGGCATGCTGGCGGGAGGGCGCTCTGGCTCCGGCGTGACCGGCAGGCTGTGGTGCCCCCCCGTAGCCATCTGCAGGCTGCAGCGCTGTGCCCTTCATGTCCCCGTGTCCTCAATCCGACGTCCCTCTGAGGCCTTGAGGGACGGAGCAGAGTGTCGCTGAGTGACCGCAGGTTTGAACCCCCCGAGGACCCGTGTCCTTCCCACAGGTATCCCCAAGGCGGGAAGGCACACAGGCCTCCGTGGTCTATTCAGAGTCTTGTCACCAGCAGTTTCTTCTGTGAAAAGTTACACTGTTACCATCGGCTGCGGGTCGCGTTCTCGAAGGTTCAGGCTAGGAGAGGTCTCACCCCTGCCCCTGTCCCTCCTTTCTCACCTGCGCCGTCACGTGGCCGGGAGCAGATGATCGATGGGGTGTGTGTGAAGGTCCAGGACCACCTCAACTCCCTGCGAAGCTGCGGCGGAGAGGCCGTGCAGGAGGACGTCAGGGCCGCGGAGCAGCTGCTGCGTGACGCCAAGAACTCCAAGACGGTAGGTGGCACCCTGGTCCGGTGTCACGGAAGTGCTAGAAGGTTCCATTTTAAGCTACTTTAACCCTGCCTCTCCACCGAGTTCCAAGGCTGCTAGCGAGTGGAGTTGTTCTCTGCCTCTGTGCCGAGGCCAGTTGTCAATTGGTGGATAAAAGATGGGGGCCCTGTGCAGCAAAGGGGGTGGTCACCCGCGGGGGGTCGCGGTGTAGCTTCGTGGGGAGAGCGGGCCCCTCCCGGTCTCAGGGTCTCTGACACTCGCCAACCCCGGCCGAAGAAGCAGAGAAGGGCAGGCATGTGTTCTTACCTTCTCTGTGTCCCTGGGACAGACACGTGACCCCACAGCCCGGGTAACCGGCCCACGCCCTGCGGGGAGGACAGGGTGTAGGGCAGCTGAGGCAACATGTTTCTGGGCCCGGTGAGCGGCTGTTCTGGGAGCTGGACGGGCCGGGAGGGGGCCAGCGAGTGGCCCGGGTCAGGCTGTGCAGGGGTGCGGACCCTCCCCCGTCGTCCTCCCGTGCCCAGTCTCGAAGCAGGCCCGGAACTGAACACAGCCTTCCCTGCTTCGGGCAGGGGTCCAAGGGGGTCAGGAGGCGGGGCGGAGTGGGGCCCTCTGGTCCCAGCGTCAAAGGTCCTTCTCCCACTGCTGGTGCGCACTCACCTCCCCCCCAGGACGAGCAGGGAAGGGACCCACCTGTGGCTCGGGTCCCGCCCTTGCGCCCGTTGCAGGAGGAGGGGCTTCACGTGTTACTTTGTGACGTGATGAAAACACGAGTGTGGTTTGATCTCTGGTGTCCGGCACAGAATTCTCAGACTCCCATAACTCCCTGAGCGAAGGGGTGACTTTTGTCCTGTGTCACCTCTGTTCCTGCTTCCTGACACACCGTCCAAAGCTGCCGGAATTTCCTGATGGGCGTGATGGGAAGCGAGAACAGGCCCTGTCCCCATGTCGTCCTTCATCTTCACGGGCTTCTCGTGGTGGCCAGAAGAACCAGCCGTGGCTGCGACATGGGCTCCCCCTGCCGCTCCCCCTCCTGGAAGGGGAGAAGGGCTGGGGTTGGGCTCATCCCGTTGCTCAGGCCTGCACAGTGGCGCGGAGGGCCTCGGCGGGCACGCTCTGGGGAGTCGGGAGGGCGGCAGTGTAC